ATTTAAAACTTTGGCCTCAGTAATTACTGTCAAATACAACTCTCGGAAATCTCCAGAATGTCTGAAGAATTCCATATTCCTGATTCTCATAGTCCTTAAATATGAATATATGTTCTCAATAGAAATAAGAGTTAGATGGAGAATTGAAGTAACAAGCAAGTGGAGCAGAGTCATACTTGGAGACTACTTCAAGAGGCACCGTAAAATAACTCAACTATCTATGTTTGTTCTCTCCTGTGTAGAAGAGACTATGTGATGATTGAAGAATATGATAATACATTGAAAGATGTTCACAAAATTGCCGTTTCATTGTTGAGTCTGAGGCGCTATATAGTTTGGGCAAGAGTGAAATGGCAGGTGTTCTACTTCCTGTGTTTGGATGGGAAGGTGCCATGGGAGGGAGGAGGGGGTGTTGATTGTGATGGAATACTGGACCAAATCTTGTGGAGGAAATGATTACTTCAAATTTGCCCAAGGGGAAGTCAAAATGTGCTTGTGGATGGATGAGGATAATTTATTAAATATGGAGACTGATACAATGTGAAAAGATGATAAGATGATCCTGTTGTGTTCCTGGGAAGGAGACAAAAGCATAAAGTCCTAGTCAACACAGTAGAGAGATGTGTGAAAGATGAAGTTGTCAGAAGAGGTTGGACTGAAATGGAGGATTATGTAGCTTCAAGGTAAAAGTTGGAATCAGGCTTGTTGAGCTGCGTATTCTCAGCAATATAAGTGGCAGTGAAAGGGAAGAGTCTGAGATTGAGAGCATTTGAAGGGAAGGAAGGAATGAAAATTCAAAGCAAAGTTAATTAAATTTTCTAGTATCAGACAAAGGCAAGAAATGCATTGACCCAGTCATCAATGCGCTGGAAAAACAGTTTAGGGAAAGGATCTGTTTAGGACTGAAATAAAGAATGTTCTATATATCCAACATAAAAGGCTGACATAACTCTTAGATTTTGGTAGTCAAAACTTATATTTGGAGATACTGAATGGATTTAAAGAAGAGGCTATTCAGTGTAAGAATGAGTGTCAGAAGAGCATAGAGTTTAATATTCTAGAAGCCACTGGGAAAGGGGACAAAACATTGTCCAAGTAGGAAGAAATAAGATTCATGAGAAATGACTGAAACAAAGGTATACCAGGGCAGTTCTGTCTGTGAATCTTAAGAAGCAAGTAAGTGGCCCTGTGGGCTTGGTGAGTTTTGTCTTGAGACTTTGCAAGTAGGTAGAAAAGACCTTGAGGCGAAATTAGGTCTTTGATTGTCAGAGCAACAGTAACTTGATGCCCATTTTGATGGTCCAGTTAGGAGATTTTCAAATGAGAATAAATAAGAGTGAGTGTGGGGAATAGAAAAACTGAAATAGATGTCATCCTGGCAGTTTCCAAGTGAAAAGGCGAAGCATGAATAACAGCCCCAAATGAAAGGTAAAGGTGGAACAGAAATTCTGAAAACGGGAGAAAGGAGAAGTCTTTCTGGCCGAAGAATGAGTGACTTAGTGAAGAACTCTGTTATATAAAAATCAAAGATCGTTAAGATATTGTTGGGAAGTGGGTCAAGGGATGAAGTCATTGCTGAGGGCTAATCATTCAGTATCAGGAAGTGTAAGTGTCAAAGGGATTGTTAATACTCCATAAATCCTCAGATTGGATGGGTATAATGTAACAAAACTGAAGGGGAAGAAGGATCACAAGAGGCATTAGCATTAGCAACTCATGATATTTGAAAGAAGGAAAGCATGAGACAGCGGATGAAATGAAACTGCAGAAAGGATATACCTTGAAATCGATTTGCTGAGTTGCAACCTTTGAGCCGGTGCTGCTGGAGAAAAAGCTCAAAAATGCAAATGTGTTGGCAGTTGGGAATTAAGTGTGGATCCAGGAAGCAGCAGGAGCATTGGTACGATTCCGGGTTCAATAAGCGATAAATAAGAATGAGTGAGGGGAATAGAGAAATTGATGTCACGCTGACAGTTTCCATTTAGAAGATCTAGGTGGAGCAAGAATTCTAACCATTTTGAATATTGCTGGAAAAACCACATATTTTGTTATAACTTTTTAACAGGGCAAGGCAACATATATACTGCATGAGGGGAAAGTGCTAATTGGTCCACTTGCAAATTCTTGCTACTCTTGGTGCTTGGTATTCCCCCAAATTGTCCTCATAGGTGCAAGACAAAGAGTTTCAATATAATACAATAGGGCGGCACGGTGGCTCAGTGGTTAGCACTGCCAGGGACCCGAGTTCGATTCCACCCTAGGGCAACTGTCTGTGTGGAGTTTGCACATTCTCCCTGTCTGCGTGGGTTTCCTCTGGGTGCTCTGTTTTCCTCCCACAATCCAAAAATGTGCAGGCTGAGTGGATTGGCCATGCTAAATTGCCCGTAGTGTTCAGGGATGTGTAGATTAGGTGGGCTATCGGCGTCTGGGTGGGATGCTCCAAGGATCGGTGTGGATTTGTCGGGCCAAAGGGCCTGTTTCCACACTATAGGGATTCTATGATTCTATGATCTTCTATGAATTTGTCTTTATCAGTAATATTCAAGTTCAATTCCAAAGATGGGAGAAAGGGGAAGTCTTGTGGCTAAAGAGTGAATGCAGTGGTGAAGGCAACAAGGATGCACTCAACACACGGAGATGTTTGCAATTGAAGGTGGATTTTAAACATGAAAGGTGGAATTTGTGATGGAACTCCTCTGAAGTACTTTAGAACTGGACAGTTGCTGAGGAGGAGGAGGAGAAGCAAATTACTGCAGATGCTGGAATCTGTACTGAGATCACAGCGGTTCAGGTAGCATCCACAGAGAGAAAGCAAGCTAATGTTTCGAGTCTAAGGCTACTCTTCATCAGAGCTGAAGTGAAGTGTGGAGTGGGGAGCATTTATGCAATAGTTGGGGGGCAAGGTGTGGAGTGCTGAGGGGAGAAAGAATGTTGATAGTTCAGATTAAGTGATGGAATGTGAGAATGGCAGAACAATGTGTATCTGACTGCCAGACTTTAAAGAACAGACAGTCTCACTGAGGAGAGTTGTAGCTGTGGAAGTGAGATTCGCTCAATTCTTAATGCACGATAATGAAAGAATAGCAACGAAAGTGAACAATATAAAAAACAAATCATCAAGCAAAGAGAACAGCAGAATTTCATCAAGGTGGGCATTGCTGGAAAAGAAATGGCAGTGAATTAAACAAAAATAAATAAATTCTGTAGATGCTGTAAACCTAAAGTAAAGTTGACAGGTTAAGCAGCAACCTCCACATACCGATGATATTTCATCAGAATTGGAAGGAGATATAATGAGTTCATAACCAATCATGAACATCAGTTAGCAGCAAAATGACACAACAAACTTTCCTTAAAATCAAATACATTTGGACAATGAAGGCCGTCAGTTTAACTGGGGCAACGTAACTATAGTAGCCCAAGCCAAACATAGACATGCACGGGAATTTCTAGAGGCATGGTTCTCAATCTGTAATGCAATCAACAAACATATAGAATTGGACCCCATTTACAAAGCTATACAGATCAAAACCGGGAATGACACTACTCACCATAACGGAGCAGACAGGATAAATTTCAAATGGAGTAAAATAACATCGCTTCATCAGAGGCCTCACTGATGATGTTACCTAGCATTGTGATGAATCATCTGAATGAAAACAAACCAGCTTGGCGAGCAAGTCAACAACCTCACCCACAACCCGAGCTACAAATCTTTACTAAAACTTTAAAGGTCATAACCAAGTGAGCAATGTAGGCATTGTGACAACTCATTGATAATGTCACAAGCAAGCTGATTAGTGAGTGGAATCTTTTCCTATTGGCAGTAATTGTATTGATCAAGGAAGCATTTTTTGTCATGGAATTAGTAGAGCACAGAAGTAGACTGTTCAGCTGATCTTATCTGCATCTGTACTCCAATTGACTGTCTCACAGTTTCATGCTACTCATTAGGAAATGATTAAACTGGAATTCTCTAACAAATTAGAATAAATGGCAGCTGGCGGAACTTGAATTTTGTTAATAAATATAAAATATAAAGTTGGTCTCAGTAATGGTGATTAAGACAACTATTGTCGTAAAAGCCTATCTGGTTCACTCGTGTCCTTTTTGGGGAAGAAAATCTGCCATCCTTGCCTGTTTTAGTCCACTTGTGATTTCAGACCTGCAATAATATCGTTGACTCTTAACTGCCCTCTGAGAAGGCCTAGAAGTCATTTTGTTCAAGGGCAGTTTGGGATGGGTAATAAAAACTGGCCATGTCAGTGATGTCCACAAAAGGATAAAGTTTAAAAAAAAACTGTGCATCAGTGTCTAGCTGATTCGCTAGTGTTAGTGATGAACACTGTGGAAACCCAACATGAGCCTCATATGTAAATGTTGAACAAAATCAGAAGTCACATGACACTAGGTTATAGCCGAACAGGTGTTTTTGAAATCACAACCTTTTGGAGCACGACTCTTTTGTCAGGTCCACTTCAACAGGTGAAGAGGACCTGACAAAGGAGCTGCGCTTCGAAAGCTTGTGATTTCAAACAGATCTGTTGGGCTATAACCTAGAGTCGTGTGACTTCTGACTTTGTCCACTCCAGTTCAACACCAGCTCCATATCATAAAAGTTAAAGGCAGTTTTGATATTTATAGTCACTGGAAGAGCTGGAATTGTAGATCAAATTGAAATGCAGCTCATGTAAATACAATTCTTGAGTGTATATAATCTTGGGAGTACTGATAGTTGGCTGTCCTGCAGTTCTTTTTGTACCTAGCCTCCTTCTTCCCCTGAAAAGGAAAAGCAGACTTCAGTGGTATGGGATGTTTTCAGTGGGATTAGTAGGTGAGAGGGAGTTAACTAAACTTGAGTGCAAAAGATCTACATGTAAATAGTAATGTGGTTCATTTTATTTGTTCATGGGATGTCGGCATTGCTCAAAAGTTATTTTTGGTATAATTATTAATGAAACATGAGTTACAACAAAAGAAAATTGTTTTTCTGTCTGCAGGTATTGATGGACCGGGAGCCATCATAAGTAATGAGGTACAGGATGTTAGCACTAAAATCCAAATCCTTTCAGTTGGGCAATCCATGACAGCCCCCAGTGATGAAGTTGAAACAGTTGTAGACTCTGCACCAAAACCAGACATCCAAGAAGTAATGGAACAGAGGGGTAGGTGGGACAGTTCTCTAGATCTTGTAAGTTCCAGTTTCTTTTAACTGGAGACAATCTATGTAATTTGTGAACCTGGTAAATAGTAAATGGTTTTGATAATTTTTGTATTTATGTATTGGGTTTGGTCAATCATGTCAGAAGCCATGTTCCAATTTTTTTGTTTACTTCTGTAATCACAGTATAATATAATGTATACCAGCATTCACTGCCTACTGATACTTCTTCTAAATAAGAATCTCAATTTACAGAACAGCATTGTTTTTTAACCTTTAAATATGGTCAGGGTAAATAAACTTTTTATACATACAGGAATCTCTGGAAGCATGAACTTCGAAGAAGCTAATGAGGAGAATGACAATTTTTCAAGTTCTCAGAGTTACGAAAATGTAAGGCCCTCATCTGCTGTGAGCAAGCAGTGCAACAAGGTAAGAGATTTATTGAGCTCAAGAGATTAGAATTTAAGGAAATATTGGTGTCCCTTCAGGGAATGTAAGTGGTAAAACAATTAAGTGATATGACTGAAAACAATTCCTGAAAATCTTGACTTTAACTGATACAACTTTGAGATGTGGTTTCCCTTCGGAGTCAATGCTGAAATCGGAGTTTCCTAAGGATAATTTTTTTTGCCCAGAAAAACCAATGTAGAAGTTTAAAATGTAATGCCATGCATATGCAGCATTGTGCATTCCTGACTGAAATAACTGGCAAAACAAAACAAGGAAAGCTTCAATAAAGAAAGCTGGCTTCTTGCTTGCAAAGAAGTCCTCAACGAAATTTACAGTATGGTACATGGGGAACTTGTTCTGTACAACTATTGTACATGTAAAGTGCTACAGAGTATAATACAACAGAGAATTCTTTAAAAAGAACAGTCCAGAGCAGTTCTTTTACTAGTACAGATGCAAAAAGGCAAAGAAATGTTTTAAAACAAGATCAAAACTGAAATTTATTTCTGCACCGGAGCAGAAAACTTCAATAAATGATTATCTTTGATGCACTGTGCAGACACAGACCCAAATTTAGCTGTGCAGTCAGTGTCTTCATGATGATGTGAAACACAAGCAGGAAGTAAGGAATATTAAAACCGGGCATGGGACTTTAATGAGGAGAGAGGACCTTAAAAGAAATCACTGTAAAACAAAAAAAAACTTAAAAATGGACTCTCTGTATTACAGTCTCTCTATTGCATGAAATATTTTCTGAAATGGAACACAAACATAACTACTGCTAAGCCTCTTCCTGAGTTAATTTGTAATTGTTAAGTTGGCTTTTAATCTTCATCCTTCATTCTCCTATTTATGTAGAAATATTTAATTTACCCCATTCTCTGAAGAAGTTTATAACATCCTGTCAGCAATTTCCTTTATGATGTGGATTATTTTAGCAATTCCTTGTGATCTTCTGTGGCATGATCAAACAAATAAGTGAATCTAATTATGGCCTCAATGCCACATTTCTACCTACTCTCTAACTTTTGTCTGTTATGCTAGAAAATAGTCTATCTACCCTACCTGAAAAAAAATTCAATGACTCTGTTTCCACCACTCTGGGAAAGAGAGTGCCAAAGACTCATGACCCTTTGAGAGGAAGAAAAAATTCTGATCGCTGTCTCAGGATGTTATATATCTTAGTAAGACCAGATCTCAATTTTTTTCTTATTTAACCTATTTTTCTAATCAACTTGCACAGAGATGTTATTACATACCTACCCAGGGGTAGGGACACTACCAAAGGGCCACAAGCGGGACCCTTAAGATGGGATCTCATTCTTCTAAGCTCCACTGGACACTTGTGCAGACTGTCTAAACTTTTCTCATAAAATAAGTATCACTTGTTCCAGAGGTGTGTAATAACATCTCTCCGAGCAGGTTGATCAGAAAGTAAAGATAAGGATGTAATACAGTTCTGTAAAGCATGCCATATAGGAAAGCTGATAGGAAAAACCTCAACGTATAATTAAACCAGCACCTTTTGATACCCATACCAATTTTTGAACAACCATTCAGAATGTTTGTACATTGTGTAGGGCTATTACTGAACACAAAAGCAAGACACCAATATATCCTGACATTAAGGATATGACATCCTGATTTCCAGAAGCTGTTCCTTTTAAGGACAATTGCAGCTAGGATAGTAGTGGAAAAGTTAATTCTGTTCTTTACTCATTGAGATACAAGTAATTGTGATGCAATCTGATCAGGGTTCTAACTTTGTCTGAAGTTTTTCAGGGATCGTAGCAATTTGGGTATAAAACAATTGTTGTTACCTTCCTCTCATCCACAAACACAGGAATGCCAGCAGATTCTCAAAACCATGAGTAAGGCATACTGTCATGATTACCCACAAGATTGGGACAAAGGATAACATTTCTTACTATTTCCTACCAGAGATTCCCCAAATGATTAATAGGGGGTTTAGTTCATTTGAATTGATTTGTGGTCATGAAAATAGAGGCTCCATTGAAAACATTAAAGTTGATCAGGGAAAGTTTCTTGAACCAAAAAGATGAATCTCAATGTTGGATTATGTGTCCATGTTTCTCAAAAGGCTCACAGGAGAATGTAAAGTAATTCAAGAGCATTTGAAAGTTTCACAAAGGAAAGTGGAAGTATGGGCAGACAAACATTCAGCAACTGGAACATTTCAAGTTGGAGATAAAATATCACATTGTTGGCTTTGCAAGATGAACCTCTGAAAGCGAAAATGAGTGGTCTATACAGAGGAGTTAGTAGGATGACTTATCTGATAAATACTCATGATCATAGAAAGAAGTAACAGTTATATCATATTTATATGTTGAAAAGGTATCATCGTAGGGATGAGGGTAAGGAGGAACAAGTGTGTTAATTGATTAGAGTAGTGGAAGATGACAAAGACAATCAGAGTGAAGTAGAAGCAGGGGTAGACAGTTCTCAAAATAAACCTCCGACAATTTGACTAACATAGAAATACTGGGACAGTTAAATGCTGTGTTTGAAGAAAGGACAATGGTAAGATCTTGTGAGACTACTTGGAAAGTAGAAGGTAATCTGTAGCAATAACCTGGATGTAATGCATTAGTTCAGCATGATGTGGAGTTGGGGGTGTCAGGTGCAATCAAAGAGCATCTTTATCAGCTTGACACAAGAAAACAAAACCTGGTTAAAACATAGATTCAATACATGCAGGAAAACAACTTGATGGACCCTAATCATAGCAGCTAAAGTTCACCAATCCTTTTTATGAACTGGATTGATCAACCAGATGTCATTTAGCTCGGTTGGCTGAATGGCTGGTTTGCATTGCTGAGTGCTGTCAACAGTGCAGGTTCAATCCTCACACCAGATGAGGTTACCATGAAGGTCCTGCCTTCTTAACCTCTTCCCTTGCCTGAAGTATTGTGATCCTTCATTAAATTCATCACCAGTTTTGTTTCTCTAATAAGAGAGAGGACCTGTGGTTGTCTTGGACTATGATGGCTCTACTTTTAGATTATAGAATGGTGAATCTGGTTACAAAGGCAGATTCATAACCAATTTCACAGTTGGAAGACTGAATTGTTAGGGTTGGCAGTGCCTCATTCCTTTGTAAAATTGATTTCTTGAAGGGATAATGACAAGTGTCATTAATGTCAAAGGCTAAAGAAATATCCTCACCCTCAACAACTCCAGAACTTCCAATTCCCCGGTCCCCAACACCTCATCTTTACCATGGACGTCCAGTCCCTCTGCACCTGCAATCCCCATGCAGATGGCCTAAAGGCCCTCCGTTTCTTCCTGTCCCGCAGGCCCGACCAGTCCCCCTCCACTGACACCCTCATCCGCTTAGCCGAACTCGTCCTCACCCTCAACAACTCTCTTTCAATTCCTCCCACTTCCTACAGACAAAGCAGGTGGCCATGGGTACCCGCATGGGCCCAAGCTACACCTGCCTCTTTGTAGGTTACGTGGAACAATCCCTCTTCGGCCCTAAACCCCACCTCTTCCTCCGTTACATTGATGACTGTATCGGCGCCGCCTCGTGCTCCCACGAGGAGCTTGAACAGTTCATCCACTTCACCAACACCTTCCACCCCAACCTTAAGTTTACCTGGACCATCTCTAATACCTCTGTCCCCTTCTGGACCTCTCTGTCTCCATATCGGGCAACCACCTAGAAACCGATATTCATTTCAAGCCCACCGACTCCCATAGCTACCTGGAATACTCCTCCTCCCACCCACCTTCCTGCAAAAATGCTATCCCCTATTCCCAATTCCTTCGCCTCCACCGCATCTGCTCCCAGGATGAGGCATTCCACTCCCGTACATCTCAGTTGTCCTCGTTTTTCAAGGACCGTAACGTCCCCCCCTCAGTGGTCGAGAACGCCCTCAACCGTGTCTCCCACATCTCCCGCAACTCATCCCTCACACCCCATCCACGCAATAAGAACCAAAAAAGAATCCCCCTCGTCCTCACGTACCACCCCACCAACCTCCGGATCCAACGCATCATCCTCCGACACTTCCGCCATCTGCAATCCGACCCCACCACCAAAGACATCTTTCCCTCCCCACCCTTATCTGCTTTCCGGAGGGACAACTCTCTCCGTGACTCCCTTGTCCGCTCCACACTCCCCTCCAGCTCCACCACACCCGGCACTTTTCCCTGCAACTGCAGGAAGTGCTACACCTGCCCCCATACCTCCTCCCTCACCCCCATCCCAGGCCCCAAGAAGACTTTCCACATCAAGCAGATGTTCACCTGCACATCTGCCAATGTGGTATACTGCATCCGCTGTACCCGGTGTGGCTTCCTCTACATCGGGGAAACCAAGCGGAGACTCGGGGACCGCTTTGCAGAACACCTACGCTCGGTTCGCAATAAACAACTGCACCTCCCAGTCGCGAACCATTTCAACTCCCCCTCCCATTCCTCAGACGACATGTCCATCCTGGGCCTCCTGCAGTGCCACAACGATGCCACCCGAAGGTTGCAGGAACAGCAACTCATATTCCGCTTGGGAACCCTGCAGCCCAATGGTATCAATGTGGATTTCACAAGTTTCAAAATCTCCCCTCCCCCCACCGCATCCCAAAACCAGTCCAGCTCGTCCCTGCCTCCCTAACCTGTTCTTCCTCCCACCTATCCCCTCCTCCCACCTCAAGCCGCACCTCCATCTCCTACCGACCAACCTCATCCCGCCCCCTTGACCTGTCCGTCCTCCCTGGACTGACCTATCCCCT